AGAGCTCGTTGCTTAAAAAGACCCTGGCACCTTCTCTCTCTCTCTCTCTCTCTCTGTCTTGCTTCCTCTCACCATATGATCTGCTTGTACCTGCCGGCTGCCTGCCACTTTCCACCATGAGTAGAAGCAGTCTGAGGCCCACACCAGATGCAGCTGTCCCAGAATCGTAAGCCAAATAAACCTCTTTTCCTTATAAATTACCCAGTCTCAGGTATTTCTGTTATAGCAACACGAAATGGACTAATACAACCTTAAAGTTGCGCCATTTGCGAACAGGCATAATATGTGGTCAGTCCCTTTCAACCAGTAGTGCCTAGTTGTTAGGACTTCATGAACACTTTCTCAACCCCCAACCCCACTTGTCAGTGTCTGGAAAGGCTGGCCTAGCCACTGCAATGAGGGTACATGCTTCCCAGGCTGCCTGGTTGGCTTCTTGTAGTGGGTGTCCTTAGGGACATAAAGGGAATTTATTTCGGATCCAGCTCCAAACATGTTAGACTGTAAGCTCTCAGGGGGCCAAGAGCTTGTGTTGTTATCCATATCCAGTCTCTAGGGGCTAAAATGGTGCCTTGCACCAGGGGTACTTAACAAGTTGCTGGTTTTAATTCAACATCAGTCTCATGGGGAAGGTTGAATGCTTATCAGTATTCTGCCCTGTCCTGGCTATGGTTATCCCAAACACACTCACTCATTCCTTCACTGCCTCACATTGACAGCTCTGGTCAAGTTGTGTTTGTGTGGATGGCTGTTGGTGGTGTGGCTCATCCCACTTTCTGAGAACTGCACATTGCTCCTCTCCTCTGACACAGAGCTCCCTGTGGCCATGTTCTGCTGTACAAACCTGTCTCCATGGCCACAGCTGAAGGCACTGGGTGAGCACCAATGCAAGGCAGTCTAACCAGAATCCTGTCCCTGGGGAAAGCAGGACCCAGAAACAGACCCAGAAAGTTTGTGTAAGGGGTTGGATTTGTACCTGTTTCACTTGGGAGATATTAGTAGTCTTCTTATTTGTCCCATAAACTGGAGAAGCAGGTGATGGAGAGAAGTGTGTGCTGCAAAGAGGGCTCAGGTGACACAATGCTGGTCCCAGGGTTCCCAGGTGACACAATGCTGGTCCCAAGGCCCTGCTGCACCCTTCCCTGAAGTTCTGAATCAACCCTGGATTCCAAAAACAATGCCCCCTCACCTGCTTTTGTTTTTTCCTAAGTCAGTTCTAGTTGGTGCATTTCCTTTATTTGCAATCTAAGGATTCCTAGCAAGTACAATCTTCTGACCTAACAGAAAGGCAATGGCAAAAATCCCAGGTAGCAGAGATAACCCATGGGTGCAAAGATTTCAGTCACTGCAAAAGACAAGCTGTAATCTAATTAAATCACACTTGGAAGCTATAGGTAAAAAGGCTCACAGTCTGGGCTGTGGAGGGCTCCCCCTTGACAGATGGAAGGGGTCCCTATATCTGGGGAGGTCTAGCTCCTCTATCCAACCAGGCTTTTGTGGCCTGAAGAGGGTCTCTTTGCAAAGGACACCCTGGGATTTTCCCCATTACTTCATTACATCAACATTTGCTAAAGCTCAAAGACCTTCCACATAATGACTTCAAACAAATCCCCAAACCAAAAATAAAGCAATGTCCATGTCTCACATCAGTCAGCACCCAGGTTTAATTTTTTTGTGTGCCTTGGAAAGAAATACAACCTCCTTTGCCATGAGATGTTAACTCTTTTATTAATTTATTTAATTGTATTTGCTTTGTTGATTTCTTTTTGGAGTTGTGGATTCAATAAACAACAGCTGGGTTCTGTCCAGCTCACAGGTGACCAGGCCAGTGCTATGTTATAGTCAAAGAGAGGAGCAGGACAACATGGGGAAAGACGAGGTTGAAAAAATTTAAGGCAAATATCACTCCCATATTAAAGGGAATTGATCAAGCAGATCTGTGCATTTCAATGAAAATATATGAAATATTTGTCAAAATAATTAACATTGGTAAAAATTAGAACATGTAGCTTATAAAATGCCTACACAGGTTTGGCAGAAATAAATCCAGCTGTGTCCTGTAGGCTCATAATATACACAGACACAGGAGTCTCCACCTTAAGAACAAGTCTTCCAAAGATCAGAGGCCAAATGAATTTTAAAAGCAATTCCACACAATGGGAACTGAAGGATATCCCATTAACAATTCAAGGGCTGAGTTTACATTTTTTTTAGAAGGAATTGCTTGGTTGTGGGGCACCTTTTGCCTGGCCCTGGGTTGCCTCCTCTGGCCCCTCCTCAGAAGGCTCTGTGTCAGATAGAGGGGGCTGTTTGGCCCACAAGACTCCTAGAGACACAGACAGAACACAGTAACGAGAGCTTGGCTCCCTCAAGGGCGAGCACTGCCTAGGAAGGAAGAATCTTCTAATCGGGTTTGGAATTTGACTTTCTAAGCCACTGCCACAGCTTCAGAGCAGCTGACTATGTAGAGAGAGATACTCCATCCCCAGTGGTCATACATTTTATGCCCCAAACCTATTTTATTTACAGTCTGACCAAACTGTCCCCCAGACTGCTTGGTGGCAGGCGATGAACAGGCAGGCTGCTCGTGCCCTCGTCATGTGTGAGGATGGCCCGGGGTTGTGCTGGCCGGGCCCACTGAGATTTAGCACAGAGCTGCACAAAAGCTCGGGGAGAAGAGTGACGTGTCATGCTGAGTGGCTTTCCTTTCTGCTTTGGTCTTGAAGATTCAGTAAACCTGTAGTCCCAGAAGCTGCTCCGAAGCTGGAGCTGTGGGTTTCCAGAAGTCATTTTGTTCCTGTCTTGAGTTTGCCAGAAGACTGTAGGCAGCAAGCAGAATTTGGGAGGATATCACTGTTTTAGGGACACCTCCTTGAGGATATCACCTGGTTTGGGTGCCCAGAGATGCTGTGGGAAGACCTCGCTCCTGGGGAGATAGGGCTGTCAGACGCAGGCACCGCCCCGCTACAGGCTCTGGCCAACAGTCTGGGGCAGGTGGACGGACTGGCGGGTGGACAGGAGGGGTCCTGCCCTCCGCGGGCAGCTGGGCGCCCTAGCCGGCCAGGAGGCACGTGCGGCAGCAGAACTGGATGAAGAGCTTTCGCTCGCAGAGCCGGTTGGACTTCACCATCTCACAGAACGTCTCATCAGCTGCAGCCCGTGGCAGGAAGGGAAAAGGAGACACTGGTCAGACTTTGGGGCCTGTTAAGTTTGTTTCGGTCATTCCGCCCCTCCTCTTGCCCAAACTGGGCACCATCTTTGGTCCCCTTCTTAGTTTCTATTTTCACAACCTGTCCTTGTCCCCCCAATCCACCTGGAGAACCAGGACTCTCCTGGGGCATGGACGTGGTGTTTCCCTGTGCACAGCTGGGATTCCAGCTGTGGAGCATGGGCTTCTACTCTGGGCTCTGTCTTTCTACTCCTGAGGCTGAGACCCTCCAGACCTCCTGGCTTTGACCCCGTGGATTGGTTTGGCCCCTCCTACAGCGAAGTTGCCATAGCCAGGCTGCCTGGGGCCTATGGCATAAGAGTAGGAACAAAGCACAAGAACAAAGTCATTTTTAAGAGTCACTCAACAAACTGACCAACCATGTCTGGGATGCCTCTGGTCAATGTGTGAGAGTCCTACAGGAGAGGTAGAAGAGGGCAATTGCCTTTCTAATTGGCTAGAGGAGTCCCAGATGGTCACTGGAAATCAGGGGTGCTATGAGCCAAATGTGTACCCCAAAAGTTCATGTATTGGAAACTCAACCCCCATTGGAACAATGTTAAGAGGGCGGGAAACCCAATTATGGTATCTGAAAGGTGGGGCCTTCAAGTGGTGGTTAGATTATGAGGATCGTGCCCTTGTGAATGGATTGATCTATTCATGGAGTAATGGCTTGGTTCTGGTGGCTTTGTAAGGAGTGGGAGTGATAAAGTTAGCTCAGCCCATTTTTCTCACCACATGACACTCTGCATTGCTGCAGAGAGTCACCACCAAGAAAAAGGCTCTCACCAGATGCTCCCCCTGGACAGTGGACTCCCCAACCTCTGAAACTGTAGGAAATAAATTTTGCTTTATAAGTTCCCAGTTTCAGGTATTCTGCTATAAGCAACAGAATGGATAGTGCATGGGGCAAGCTCTCCTGTTGGGGCTGCTGTGCCTGCACTCTGCCCGGTGGCCCCCAGGTGCTCACCGTCGCTGCACGTGTGGTTGGTGATACAGGAGGTCCCCAGCTGCGTGAAGCCTGCCTTACACCTGCTGCAGTTCCTGCTGGAAACTTCGCAGCTCAAGCAGCTCTCGTCGCACCTGTGGGAAGACACCACCAGGTTCTGCTGCATTTTGGGGAAGAGGCCCAGACACTCCGAAGTTCCTTCCTGGAGCTCGCCTACCCTCCCTGCACATACCTTGACCCTCAGCTTTGGTCCTCTGTTGAGAGGCTACACCTGTGTCTCCCACGGTGTCCTGAACCATGAGTCCCTCCTCCCGGGAGGGTGAAGACAGCCGTGGCCAGGCAGGAGCACGCCTGGGAGCAGAGGTCAGGCCCATGTCTCCGAGCCTCCCTCCTGTGATGGCTGTGGGCTTGGGGTTGGGACCAGACCTGATTCTGGAGCTGACCTGAGGGCTGCTGCTTCCGCCCACCCCAGGGCTGAACTTCCTTGCCGGCCTACCCCCAGGGAGAGGGGTACTCTTAAAATTCCTGTCCCTCCCAGTCAGTCCTGGCCCAGAGACAGACCCAGGGCTATTTTTTTTTTTTTTGTCTTTTTGTCTTTTTCCGTGTCCGGCAATGGATCACAACCCTCAGTGTTGCCCCCGTACCGGACCGGGGACCGGCAACAGGATCGCAACCCTCGGTGTTGCTCCTGCGCCTCGCTCAGCCAGTGAGCGGGAACCAGTCTGTATGTGGGATCCGAACCCTCGGGCGGGAGCGCCGCCGCGCTTCCCAAACGGCGCACTATCCAGTGCGCCACCGGGCCGGCCCCCAGGGCTATTTTTGATGCAGAGGAACACCTCAGGGGAGGCTCGGTGTGCTGCAGCCCGTGGACATCCAGCAGTTTTACAGGAACAAAGTCACACTCCTTCATTCACATCATCTGTGGCTGCTTTTGTGCTACAGAGGCGGAGTGGAGTGGCGTGACAGAGACAGTACACTACAGCCTGAAAGCCTCCACCACTTACCATCTGGCCCTTCACAGAGAACCTGCAACTCTGCCCTGGGGCTTGAGTTTGCATGTTTCCCCTGGGGCTGAGCGTGCACCAGGTTATACCTGCTGCTTTTGGCTGCGTTGGCTCAGACTGTGCCTGGGCCTGCCCTGTGGGGCAGTTCTTTGCTTGGGACAGATGCTCCCTGCCCCTTCTGTAAGGACTCTGGTGACCAGATGCCAACAACAAGCCTCCTGGTAGACCTCTTTCCAAAGCAGCCCCCTGGGGGCTGATTCTGCCTCCACGGAGCCCCAGAGCCCCGTGCGCAGCATCTCAGCCAGGGTGGGAGGTGGGTTTTTATTCCTAGTGCACCTGAGGATGCCGAAACTGGAGTTCAGGTCCTTGGTTTATATTTGCAAGTGTGTAAATCCCATAGGCAAACCTGCATCCAGGAGCCAATCCAACTTCCTCCTCCTGCAACAAGAGCTGGTCCCCACCCACACCCCCGCCCAGGCCTTCCCGAGGACAGCAGAGTCACTGTACTTGCTGGAGTCAGTCTGCAGGACCCTGTTCCTTTTGCACTTTTGGGAAGCCCCTGGGGTCTGGCCCTCACCATTCTGCCTCCCCACACCTGCCCCTGCACCCTCTGGTGGCCCAGCCACAGACCCCCTGGGGATCCCCCCCCCCAGCATCTTTTACTGATGCTCACCAGTGAGACGGGAGCTAGGACCAAGCTGAGCCGTTTAAAGGGGCCTGGGGGCTCCTAGGCAGTGGCTGAGGGTTACTTCAACTGTGAACAACGACAGTGACAGTGGCGCAGAGCAGGCTGCAGTGGAGGACCGGCAGGACAGAGCTTACGTTCTTCTCCAAATACAACCTCCCCAAGCTCGGTGGGATTGCACTGTCCCGGTTTTCTGTTGCTGCGTAACAAATGACTACAAAAGCAGCAGCTTCACACGGCACCTGTCCAGAAGCTGCCAGTTCTGTTGCAGAAGTCCAGGCAGCCTCAGCCGGGCTCTCCGCTCAGGGTCTCACAAGGCCCAAGGCAAAGGTGGTGGCTGGCCTGGGCTCTCATCTGGAGGTTCAGGGGAAGAATCCCGCTTCATGCTGCTCTGGGAAAGGGGTGATGCCCCCAACTGCCTGTCGCTCCTGCTTCTTTCTATCAGGGTTACCATGCCTTGGCAGGTGGTCCTCCTGGGCAGGGAGGCTTTCAAGATGTCTCTGGTTCTGCTACCTTTTATGGTATCTACTTCACCCCCCAAACACCATGGCAGCCTTGCTCTGCCAAATTCTGGAAGGGCAGGTGTGCCCATGGTGCTCTCTCTCCCTGCACCACTGCAGGGGCCACTCGCATCGGCCTCCTGCCTTTAGGCTGTTCCAGGCAAGAGTCAGACAGCACATGCCCGGAGCACACAGGCCACCTGCTTCTAGAGCTCCCTTCACGCTTCAGGCTGGGCGCAGAACAAGGCAGAAGGCACGCCCCTGAGAGTCTTTGTCCCACTGAGCGTGGGGGGAGGACTGGGGTGTGAGAAGTCGGTCCAGCCTGCAGGCAAGGACCCCCAGAAGTGCTCTTTCTCTTCCAAGTCCTTCTTGCTCACTCTTGTTATGTTCGCTAAATCTTGGGGGTGTCCAGCACCTCTTCTGAGGTGCTTAACATGGACTGTCCTCAGTCCTCAGGCTTCAGCTTAGATCTGTGGTTGCTAACCCACCAAGCCCGTGTCCTGGCCTGCTTTTCCCACATCCAGCCCCCATCCGGCTGCAACTTCTCTGGGAGCTGCCCCCTCAGCAGGGGAGGGCCACTGCACCAATCAGCATTCTGGGCCCTGGAGGAAGGCTGTGGCTCTCTAAAAGCTGATGCTGCCTGAGTTGGGAGAGACCCTGCAGAACCCAGTAGACAAGCCCATTCTTCCTTTGTGAGGGATCCACACTGATGGGGTCTTCATGGCCAGGAGACTCTAAAAGATGGGAGCTTTGTGAAGCGCTAGCATTTCACCCCCTTGGCAGCTGTACAGGGATCTTCATGGGGTTGTTTCTCCAAGACCTGGTGTGTCAGTCCCAGTACTGGACTCCCCACCAGAGCTAAAAGCTTTCCATCATGTGGAAGCGAGTACCAAGGAAACTCCACCTCTGATGCCCAGGAGGGACTGGCGGGGGCTGCATGACGCCTGCCCCCTGGGGGCTGGGTCACCATAGCCTCTGGATGCCCGCGGGGGTCCTGTTGCCACAGTTGTGGGCATACTCAGCATACTCTGGCATTTGACAAATGAATGTGATTATCACTGTTTAATTCCAAGTTCTCCATGGGCTGCCAGACTTAATTATCCAAGAACCAGCTGGCTGGTTAAAATGAAAGGCCTACTTCAGACAGCTGTGCCCAGGACTCAAGAAGGCTGAGGTTCCTGTTTCAAACCAACTTGGTGGAGGGGGCTGACCCTTGCACAGATAAGTGACCCCTTAGGGACCCCTCTTTTGTGGGCCACACAAGTGTAAGGACTTGCTGGTCTCTCGTTGGCTTACTGTTGGTGTTTTTGTTGTTTGTTTAAGGGAATGGTTACAGCCCCCAGCAATTCTCACACCTGGCCTGGGAGGCACACCCCCACAGGAAGTCTGTGGACCCACCGGTACTAGCAGGTTCCCTCCCAGTCTTCCTGCTGTGCTCTCACATGAGCCTGTCAGGGCTCCCTGTTTTGAGTCACCTCTACCATCCTATTATCTTGGTCACCTTCAAACGTCTCGTCGTAGCTCCCTTCTGAACACAACAGGCTGCCCTGTTCCCAGCCTCTGAGTTTATGGTGTCCTGACACAGGGCAACACTTGGCAAGAAAAGGGGAGACCAAAGCAAGTGGCTCTCCCTTAGTGGCCCATGTCCAGCAGCACAAGGGACCACTACACGGTCTAGAGCCACCACACAAGAAAGGTGGACACACAGGAGTAGATGGGAAAGGAGACTGAGAGGGTTATAATACCTGTGTGCTAACTGCATGGGAAATGGCTTTAGTATAAGGAGATTGTCAGGATCTTTTTATTTTCTCTGACATATCTAATCAAATTTTAAAAACCCCAAACACGGTTTCCTTGATTGCCAACAGCATGAGGCATCCTGAGCCATGGCATGGGTAGGACCATGCTGTGGAGTCTGCTGTTAGGTGTGAGTGCCCCGTCATTCTGCTTCCTGCCCTACCCCAGCCGCTATGCAGTGCCTACACAGTAGGTGCGCCACAAATACACACAGATGAACAGAGGTGTGATGGCTACGGACTAGCTCTGCAGATGAGGACCCGGTGTGGGACCCCCCACCCCAGCCCCAGAGAGGGGGCCTTCGCTGGACACAGTCAACCACCATTCCCCAGCAGTCTGGGGCTGAGCCAGGAAGACTGTACCTTCGACACACTTTGTGGGGCAAGCCGGGCATCTCCTCTGGGAAGAACCCCTCACCACAGGCCGGCACACATTTCCAGTCTTGGAAGTGGAAGTTTTTGGCACAGTGAATACATTCTTCTCTGCTAGGCCCTGAGTGGTACAGGAAAAGAAACAGACGTCAGGGACTGCCCATGATGACCAGGTCCCAGGCCTGCTGCAGTACCCTGGAACTGTGTCCCCAGCCACCACTACAACAGCTGGCATTGCCCAGGTGCCCAGCATGGGCTAGGCCATCCTCACCCACTCTCAGGAGGCAAGCATCACCAGTCCCATTTCACAGATGAGAACATCAGAGGCACAAGCTGATCTCAGTGGGGGCACACCTCCCCACTGCCTATGTCCCAGGAATTAGCCCTGATTCCAAATGCTTCCTTTCCCAACAGGCCTAGGCCTACTCCTGCCAGGGCCAGTGCAGCAGCCGCTCACCAGCCACGTGTGGCTTTGAGCCCTTGAAATGTGCTGGGCCAAACTGAGATGGGCTGCAAGCACGAATTACACACACCTGGATTCCAGGGTCTTCGTGCACACAAAGAATGTAAAATAGCTCATTTATTTGTTGTTTTAAACTGCCACGTGTTGAAATGACAGTCTTTTAGTATACTGGGTTAAATAAGATGTGTTACTAAAATTACTTTCACCTGCTTCTTTTTGCTTTTTAAGTTATGGTTCCAGGGCAACTTAACACCACATCTGTGGCTCTGTCATATGTCTGTGGGACGGAACACTGTGCCTGATGACATGAGGAAAATGGAAGAGACTTTCAGGAATGGTGTTGACAGGTGTTTAGTATGGACACCTGATGCATCGTCAACAACAGAGAAAGAAAGATTGAGTGCTTATGGCGGGGCGGGGAGGGAGACAGAAGCTCAGCACAAAGCCTGAAGATTTCGGAGGAAAACCTTCAGTGTGGCTTGGACTCAGAGGAGGACTTGTCGGCCTGGCTCAGACTTTGAACTAGAGTGAAGAAACCAAGTTGTCGATCCATCTGGCCCTCCTTCCCTTCATTCATTCAAATAACAAGTAGGCGCTGAGTGCCTGCTCAGTGCCAAATGTCCCCAAGAAGCCCTTGATGGGACATCAGAGAGGCAGCAAGGTGGCTGCTGGCTGACAGCCTGGAAGGGTGATTGTGGGGATGAAGTCATCTCAGATGCTCTGTGATAGTCACAGTCTCTGAGTAAACTTTTGTCCCTCCCTTTAACTTGATTGTGGTCTCAGATTGAGGCCTGACAGCTAATGCAGTGAGATCTCCTCTTCCTAGAGTAACTCTGGACTAAGATAGGCCTCTCTGCTGTATCCAGGGAAGATCCCTTTGCAGAGGTTCCAGAACCCTGGAGGGCCCTGGGCACAAGGATCAGGCTCTGGGGCTGGCTCCATATCTCAGAACCACAGCGGGGAGGGAATTCTGAGCTCATCTAAGGCTGAGCTCCTCCTTTGATAGGAAAAGTGAAGACCAGAAGGCCACAGGATTTTGAGTGGGAGGAAGAGGCGGGGCCCTTTGGGGTGATGGGGCCTCTGTAACAGACCAGTCTTCATATGGGGAGCCCCCTCTTTTCCTGTGATGGGGTTGAAGAGCTGCTCCCCACACACGAGAGATTCTGTCTGCTTTATGAAGTTCTAGTTCTGTGCCATTCTGGTTGCTCTCACACTTTGGCTGATCCTGCCCCTCCCCATTATTTATCTCCAGAGAGCGTCTGCAGGTCAGCTGCAGTGGGTCAATCGTACAAGGTGTGGCAAGTGTACATGGTGGGGCCATCACTCCATGTCAGGCCTCACCTGCTGAGCCCTGTCACTTTACCACCTGAGGAGCTTCTGTGGTGGGGAAAAAACTCTCATTCTTTTTTTTCTTTCTGGCAGCTGGCTGGTACAGGGATCGAACCGTGTTATCAGCAGCACCATGCTCTAACCAACTGAGCTAACCAGACAGCCGCTCATTCTTGTTTATAACTCGTTTAATGCTCAATTTATTAAACTTAAAAGTTGATCAGATACATTCAGTTTGGGAAGATGAAAAAGTTCTGGAGCTGGACAGTGGTGACAGTTGCACAGCAACTGAATGCACTTTATGCCCTGACCTGTGCACTTAAAAATGGTCATGATGGAGAATCTATGTCATGTGTATTTTACCACAATAAAAATAGCTGATCAAATACACATTTACTAAGCAAACTATTTTCACAACTAGTAAAAATTATAAATTTTATAAGTCATTCAAAGTCTCTTAAGGATTCCACTGTCACAAATCCTTATACAATTTGAATACTTTAAAAGCACCCACAATCATAACAATAATAGCAAGATGGGTTATGCTTATGGAGGACCTGCTACATCATTTGTGCGCCCTGTACAAGGTGACAATGTGGAGTCCGTGTTCAAAAAGTAGGAAAAGTGTGCCATTAAAGGCACTGAGGTAGAAAATGTTTTCCTTTCTTCTGCAGTCTCTCTCTCTCTCTCTGTCACGGTATTATTTGCCATTTCATGTCATGCTCTCTTGGGCACAGGCACAGGATGCTCATGGGCTAGGGCCAACCCTCACAGGTACCATGTGCATGTGCCCTGAGTTGCCAGCTGCTGACTGACATGCCATGCCCATGGTGGGTAAGTAGAGCTGGGTGCCTCCTGTCCGACGGATCCACTGCCTCAACCCATGGCAGACAGGTGATCCCCAAGGGAGCACAGCCACCTTGCCAGAAGACCCTGGATACCTGGACTCAAGACGGATGAGAAGCTCAACCCCACCAAGCCACCACCAAATGCACTGGGGCACTGTGGGCGAGGTGGGGACAGGTGCCACCAGGACCTGCCCCAAGATGCCATCACGCACATATTCCTGACCCTCCCCATGATTGTGCCCAGGCCCTTGTGCGGGTGGTGGACAGCAGTGGTTGCTGAGTGGGAAAAGGGAGGGGAAGGCCAGGCAGGCCTGGGTCTCCAGGGTGCAGGGAGCCGGCAGCTGAGAATGGCTGCTTCCAAGGAGACCTGTATCTGACGTGAAGCAAGAAGCCTCCAGGTGAATCAGAGTGGGGAAGTGAGATCTCTCCCCAGCGGCCACCTGGGGCTGATGTATATGCTCTCAGGAGCTTGGAAAGAACCCAGCCGGAGTGTGTGGGGAGGAGTGGAGACCGTTCCCCAAACCCCAGAGCTTTAGACCTGCACACTGCTAAATTAAACAACTGACGTGATAGAGAAGTCACTGGATTGAGATGAGAAAACCTACAAGTGAGTATAAAACTGTTTGTCATCAGGCCATCTGGGGTCTCAGAAAAAGAAAAGTAAACTGAATTAGTGAAATCAAAAGAGTTTCAAAGCTGCATGCCTGAATGTTATGGGTTCAAGTGACTGACATTTAAATAAGCCACATCAGCAATACTTTCTAACCTGGGCTAAACAAGAAATCAAAGAAAGAATAAACATGAAAGCAAGGAAGCAACAGGGCAAACTCCTAGGAAAACCTCCAGAGTTGCCAGCAGGGGAAGCCTTCCAAATGCCGAGCCCCGGCTTCTTATGGGGTTGTCCCAGGAGGGTATGGAGGAGGGCATATACTCCCACAGGTGGCCTAGGGCAGCTCCAGCTACCACTTGAGGATGCTGGCCTTGGCCACAGCCTTGGTTTCTCTGGCTTGTCCACTCCTGGACAGCACAAGTGATAGCTACATGGGGTTCACACGGTCACACAAGGAGGGCTGGGCCCATCCTCAGGCATTTCTGATGACCAACTGGTATCATGGCATCTATGATTCAGCAGAGACCTCATTCTCAAATTGTTACTGCAGCAAAAACTCAATCTAATGTGAGTGTCATAGAGGGGACCAAAATGCTGGGGGCAGGAAGGAGGGTTAAGAGGAGAAAACTTAACCCAAAATGTATCTGAGCCCACCAACTTGTGGGGCACTTCACCTTGCTTGTGCAAATGACTGCAAAATGAAACCCAGTAAAACAAATGAATCCCCACTGTGCCTGGGAGACATCTGTGCTATAATCTTTGCAGGGAGTTATAATACATGTAAAATTGTTTATAGAAGTATTTTCCTCTTTGAATAAGATGTTCAAAATAAGGGAAGACAGGTACAAAGAACTGAGGCTGTGCTTTAAAACGTCCCCATCCCCCTGAGGGCCCATCCCCGCCTCTCTTGGAGTCCTCTGGATCCTTATGGTCCAGTGTTACCACCAGCACTATCCCACAGCAAGAGCTGAGCTCCAGGGCAGGACAGCTCCTGGGCAGCTAAGCAGTCCTCACCCCTCTCATGGCCTAAAAGCTGCCTCTGCCTGGCTGGGTTTCTAATGCTGGGAAACCCAGGCTGTTGGTTCAAAGTGGGCCTTTGCATTGCTTTTTCTTTCATATTTTAAAAATTGTAGTAAAATGTACATAACATAAAATTTACCATTTTAACTTTTTTTTGGCAGTTGGCTGGTACACAGATCTGAACTCTTGACCTTGGTGTTACAATACCACGCTCAAGCAACTGATTAACCATATTTAAGTTCAGTGGCATTAAGTATGTTCATGCTGTTGTGCAATCATCACAACCAACCATCTACAGAACTTTTTTTTTTTACCTTTTTGTCTTTTTTCGTGGCCGGCAACGGATCACAACCCTCAGTGTCGCGCCCGTACCGGACCGGGACCAGCAACGGAATCGCAACCCTCGGCGTTGCCCCCGCGCCTCGCTCAGCCAGTGAGCGGGAACCGGTCTGTATGTGGGATCCGAACCCTTGGCAGGAGCACCACTGCGCTTCCCAAGCGGCGCACTATAGCAGTGCGCCACCAGGCCGGCCCTACAGAACTTTTTTCATCTTCCCAAACTGAAACTCTAGATCCATTGAACAATAATTCCCATTCCCCCTCCCCTAACCTCTGGTAAGGCCTTTGTGTTTTGCTTTGTTTTGTTTTGCCTTTGTGTTTTGATGCTGTAATAAATGCAGAAGCCCATAAGTCCGAGGGCTTCCTGGGTTTCAAGAGAGCTAGCCTATCCACCTGGGTAACCCTGGCCCACCTGCAGGCATGACAAAACAAAGGCCTGGGCAGGCCATTTGCTCACCCATGCAGGTCTGGCAGGTGTGATGGCATTCCCCACACTGGATCAGCTCTGGGTCGAAGTAGGTGCCTGGTTCACAGTCAGGAATGCAGCTGCCCCTTGCAAGGCTGTAGAAAAGGAAAAGAGGCAGGTTTCCTCATCTGCTGCAAAATTCTAATTAAACTATGATTTGCCCTCAAACACCTTTCCTGAGAGGAAATGAAAACTTGAAGCACATCTCTGTGTGTCACTTAAGGTTCCCAGCTGACAAAAGCTGGAAAAGCTGTCCTGAGCCAGCTGGAGGCCTGGCTGGAAGGGATGCCCTGGGCCTGGAAAGCAGAGCCTCCATCATCAGGCAGCAGGCGTAAGACTCTTTCCCAAAGCCCGTGGCCTTGGTCCCAGTCCCAGAGGCCAATGCCTCAAACTCTCTCCAGCTCTGTAATGGCTTCTTTTCACTGCCATTTCTCAATTTGAATGCAAAGCCCAAGAGGAGACCTGGAACGTGTGGGTTGCTGCTTGGATCACTGCTGGTGGCAGGCTGGTTCAGCTTCAAGGTCCAAGTCCCCCTCCAAGTGTCAGAATTTATGATGTGTGAGGGGGCGCCAGCTACAAGATTGACCCTGAACTCTCATCTGCACACTCCTCTCCCTTGCTTGAAACCTGCTGCGGCTTCCCAGTAAACTCGAAATAAAATCCACTCCTGGGACCTGGCAGGCCTGTCTGATGTGGCTCCTGCCTTCCTTTTTCATGCCATCGGTGCCTGCCCTCACCTTGCTCCAGCCAGGCAGAGTGCTGAGCGGGGACACGAACTCTGAGCTGGACGACCCATGCGCAGGGGATAGGCTTCTGTCACTTCCCAGCTGTGCGACCCCAGGCAAGCCAGCCAACCTCTCTCCACCTCCCTTTCTTCTCCTGTTAATTGTTTCCTACATCATAAGATTGCTTGGAAGACTCAGTGAGCAAACACACTTAAACCATTTGTGTCTGGCTTGGAGCAGTTTAAATGTCACCTACTATTCTTTAGTTCCTGAGATACTGTGTTTGATGCCCACATTTTAAATGGGTTTGCCACTAAACATATTGAATAAGTGCTCTGGGGTGCATCTGTCAGATCCAAAAAATCCTGCTGTGATATTGTGACTTATAATAAGAAATATATATTTGGTATTTGTCTTGGCACACAGCTCCTAAAACCCTGGGAGTCACCAAAGTGAAAAGTGTCTCTCTGTATGCTAATGAGATGACTGGTGTCTGGGGATTCCTGAATAGCCTCAGGATGGGGGCAGGTTGCCAGGGGAACAAACCATGTGATTAGAGGGTTGGAACTTTCGGCCCCACCACCCTACCTCAGAGGCCTCCAGGGAGGGGAGAGGGGCTGAAGGTCGGTCACCAGTGGCCAATGATGTAATCAGTCATGCCTAAGTAATGATGTCTCCACAAACACCCTAAAGGACTGGGTTTGGAGTGCTTCCAGGTTTGTGAACAAGAACACCTCCATGTGCTGGGAGGGTGGGTCACTCCAACTCCACAGGGACAGAAGCTCTTGCACCCTCAACCCTTCCGAACCTCGCCCTACGCATGTCTTCATCTGGCTGTTCTTCTGCATCCTCTGTAACATCCTTTATAATAACTGGGTAAATGTAAGTCAAGTGTTTCCCTGAGCTCTGTAAGCCTCTCTCCCAAATTAATCTAAACCTGGTGGGAACTCTGATTTACAGGTGGTTAGTCAAAAGTACAGGTGACAACCTGGGCCTTGTGACTGGCATCTGAAGTGGGGACAGTCTTGGGGGACTGAGCCCTTAACCTGTGGAATCTGATGCTATCTAGGTAGTGTCAGAATTTAGTTAAATAGAGGATACCCAGTTGGTGTCCACTGGACAAGTGCTTGGTGTGTGGGGAAAATCCCACACACGTCTTGGTGACCAGAGGTGAAGCATGTTGAGTGTATGAGTAGAGAAAACACTTTGGTTTTTCCCATCCCTTACACCTGCATTTAGTGGGGAGACAGCTATAGGTCTGCAAGCCCCTCTGCGCTAATGGTGGATGACCACCCAGGGCTCTCATGGTGCCAGAGCTTCTGCAAACGGCAGTTAAATCACATCTTTGATAACTGACATTCCCTGTGAAACCTTTCTGCATTTATCCCCCTAAAAAGATGGATGGCCCGGAGGCTCAGCCGCTCTCACTGCTTCAATGGGACAGCGATAATTTGAAGTCACAGCTTAGGAGGATACTAGGTGATAAAAGGAAGCTTTCTGTGGACTGCGGTTGCCCATGTTTTCAGAGTCCACAGGCCCTTCTGAAAGCTCACCGTTGCTGGAAGCACTGCTTCTGTGTCTGTGGCTCCTGCCACAACACTGTTCCTGAACTGAGTATCTGACTTCCCCTGTCCCACAGGATGCAGAAATTAGTTCCCTGTGACTCCCCTGACACTTCTCCACAGGAAGACAGTTTCCAGGGAGTTGGAAGCAGGAGGCCTACCCTCCCTGACACCTTCAGTTACCAGCCTGGGGTTGAGGATCCACTCCTGGTCTGCCTGGATGGCAGAGTCTGGGAGGTCAAGGCTGGTCTCTCCCAGGCCCGGGCGGGGACCTCAAGCTGAGTGTCTTCTTCCTCTTCTGGCTCTTTTCCCTTTGAGCGATCTCCTTCCTGCACCAGTTCACCCTTTTACTCCTAATCCTGCCTTGTCCAGCCAACAGGTTAAAATGACAGCAGGTGTGACGTGTGACTCTGGAGGTCCTGCCTCTCCTTCCCTGCCCAGACTCTCAGGTGCTTGGTGCTCCCCAGTACCCTGATCTGGAAGAAAGAAGCCGGCTGAAGGAGACCTCACGACACAGTGCCTCCTCGGGAAATTGTTGATTTTCCCTGTTTGTAAAATGTAAATAATAATAATATCTACATTCATAAGTTGCTGCCAAGATTAAATGAGGCGATATTGGTGGGAGCATAAGGAATAAGAGCAGATGCTCAGTAAGTTTTCTTCCTTCACTCCTTACTCAAAAAAAAAAAAAAAAAAAAAAAAAAAATGGATCTCTATGGTGAATTCTAGTCCCAGCAGCATTTGGAAGGAAGCTGGGTTGTGGCCTTCTAGAGCCTCCCTATGCAAAGGCAGCTCACCACCTGGACCGGCAGCAACCTCAGTACCTGGGAGCCTCTTGGAAATTCACAGTCTCAGGCTTCACCCAGACCTGCTGCTTCACAATCTGCACTTGAACACGAGCCCTGGGGTTTCCTGTGCACATCACAGTGACTGACCCCTTGTCTTCCTTCCTTACAGTGCAGACATGTTACTAGTCCTTGTTCAAGAGTGTCCACGGTGTAATTTTGAATAGAATGCTTCAAAAGCTTCTAGATAGAAACTTGGAGGAACAAATAATGTATATATGATTGCATTAAATATAATTTGGTTGCATTAAGTAGACTAAACAAACATTTCAAAATATTCTAATAAAAATCATTAACCCAGCGAAACATTTTTAAAGGAAATGTGTGTGCAGCTTCAAAGGGCTAAACTTGGTGGAACAAGGAGAACTAAGAATCTAAAGAGCATCCTCAGGGAGCAAAGTGTGCCCTCCCTCCCCCACCATGAAGATGACAGAAGCCGGAGGAAAAAAGAGTGAGAAGACAGAGTGATGGAGAGGAGGGAGGGTGGGCAAGCCCTGCTTTAGGTAACACGATCAACTGTTATGTAAAACGTAGAGACCATTTGCTAACTTTCCATCTTAAACAACCATTGCTAAGTAGACACATGGTTTTAAAAGATTTAGAATCTTTACCCTAAAAGGCTCAGGGGCCTCTGAAATTTTAGCTTTTAGGAAAAGATGCAAAATCTTGGTAAATCAATGACAGAAACTAAAAACAGCATCAACACCTTGCCATTCTCCAGGTTTTGAGGCGGGTTTTACCTGAATCCTTCTTTACAGACTGTACATTTCTCGGGTTCATCCAGGCACTTTTTACAGCTCGGGTGGCATTTAAGGCAATTTTTCTGACCTGGAGAAAGATAGAAAGATGAGGGACAGAGGAGGGGCAGCAACGATGGATCAGATCTGGGCAAACAAAACTCCAACATTCAAAAGTGAGGTTGGTGGGACAGCTCTTCCCCGGGCATGCGTCTATGGATGGATCATGTAGTAATAAAACAGCTAGAGGTCACATGGCAAGACCCTATGCCTCAGCATCAGATCACAGGTCTCTCACCTCCCTTTCCTGGAGTAAATGAAAATCCTCAAACAACCATGAGGCTTCAGAGGTGGTCCGTTTCCAGAGAAGACATGCCCTGGTTCTGCTGATTTCAACAGGGACTGAAGCCAATTCCTGGCTGGCTGAGTATGGTTTAACCAGGTGCAAATCTTTATAAGCATGACTGTGGGTGGGGGGAGGAGCCTGAGGATGCCGCTGACACCCCCTCACCCAGTGCTTTCACAGGGATCTTTATTGAAGACTTGGCAGCAATGAACTGTGAGACAGGAACCTAAGATGAGCCTTTGTCCCTCCTGGGGAAATTCTGAGTCGTGCCAACAACCACCTGCATGTTGTTATCTAGCTCACTCAATGTTGGCGCCTCTTCAAACACCACCATGTGCCATCACTAAGTGATTAAGCTCTGGGTACTTGCCACACCTCTGTGCATCCTTGGCAAGGCCCGCAGGTGGCATCACATGCACGCAGCAGGTACTCAGCCTTGGGAAGGGGATGGGGATGAAGGATCCTCCACCCTGGAAACAGGTCTGGTTGGCAGCCCCGGGCAGGCATTTGTAAAGGCTGTGAAATGTGTCCTGCATGACTTTTTGCTTCCCCTCCAAGGAGAGTCTGGTTGTTTGATGGCTGCTTTATTTGTCGTTAGAGGTTCCCTGGCTCCTTCTCCACAGGAGTAACAGCAGTGCTGTGACATGCAAACCCGAACGTCAAACGGTAGCTGCTTTAACTTGTTTGAGAACTCTCTTCCAGGGCAAGGTAAATTGCTGAAACACTGGCAGGCCAGGACCGCCCAGAGCCCCTGCCCTTCCTGGGACAGGTGGGGCAGCAGGCACTGGCTTTGCTCCTCTGAGTTCGGGTCCCACCTCTGCCGTGACTTGCTGTCAGCCTTTACCCTCATGCAGCTTCAATTCCCCTGGTGTAAGAAGAGGACAATATTGCCTGCCTCTTAGGGGTGAGGTGACGTCCTATAAAGTGCCCCACAAAGACTGACTTGTCCCTTCTGAGCCCAATTGACATCAGTTAGCAGGCTCCTCTTCATTTTTGGAGGACTGCAAACCTTCTGCCGACACCTAAATCCCAATTTCAGCTCAGCAGCCCTTCCTGGGAGGGGCTTTCCCCCAGTTTTGACCTCCAATCCCTAAAACTCCTGCTGACTCCCTGACACTACCTTCCCCACCCCCATCCCCCACCGCAACATGCATGTCCTGTGTTACACAGAAGCCGACGGCACAGTCTTTCCTGGAGGAGAAATTACAGGACAGACAGCAGGGCATCCTCTTCTGGTATCTGAATCAGACTGAGCCCCAGAACAACCGACCCAGGCCACCTCTCTGCCCAACCTCAACAGTGGACATTGACTTGCAGACATGTGAAACTCCCCAGACTGCAGGGATTCATTTCAGCATCACTTTGAATGCTCCTGGCCAGGTCTGAGGGTGGACTCTGTTAACTAACAGGTCTGAATGCAGGTCTGAGAGCTTTGATTCCACCATCTCTCCCTCCTGCTCTGTTAAAGGTCCTTCTCGGAACAACACAGTAAACAGGAAGCAGAGAACTGGGGAAACTCCCCCAGTTGAGGGGACACCAGCCCAGAGGGGGGGCGCTGGCTCATGCCCATGGACATGCCACTTACTCTCATCAGCGTAAAATCCGGCAGGACAGAGGGTCACACAGGTGTTCATCTCCTGGTGGTGATAGAACCCGCGGCGGCAGGACAGGCACTGCATGGGGCTCCTGCCTGAGCAGGTCTCACAGCCCCTATGGCACCGGCGACAGCGTCTTGCTGCTGTGTCCCCAAAGTAGCCCAAGGGGCACATGCTCACACACTTCCTGTGGGAGCAGGAGCAGGTGAGGGCCTTTCCAACTCAGCACCAGCCCCATGCCCACCCCCCATCAGGCTAGCAGAGCTGCTGGCCTGAAAGGATTCGAGACCTCAGCTGCCCCTCCTGAGTCAGCAAAACACTGAGGAAATAAAGACCCCAGGGTGAATGTTCAGCCATTAGCGCCCCTTGTCTTGTGAGTGCAGTTGGGAGGCTCCTAAATACACAGATGGAGGCTTAAGGACTTGGACTGGACCCTGTGAGTCCTTGCCTTTCAAAGAGGGCCCCACTAGGAAGTTCTGAGGCTGTCTGGTTCCCTGTGGGGACCATGATGTTGGTATTTGACTTTGGAGCATCTGGCTCTGGCAAAACCCTACCCTGGGTGCCTATAGAATCGAGTCTCACAGGGAGTGAGAAGAGCCAGCCGGACAAGTGCCTTTGCACAGTGGCAGGCTGGGTGCAGCTATCAGGGAACCTGGGGACACTATGCATGGCTGTACCCCTGCCCACCACGCACAGCCACACCACTGCTTGGGCCCTCAGGTGGGCACTGCAACTTGTGGGTACATCTGTCACTAGGCCTTTAGGAAGCTCAGCAGTGTCTTGTCACTTTGGCCTCCAAGGCCTGGCACGTGCAGCACACAGTAGGTGCTCAGGAAAGTTTGTGAAATGAAAAACAGAGCATCTGCAAGACTGGCAGGGAAGAGAATTCTAGAAAGCAGTGGTGCTGGGAGCTGCAGGAGCTCAGGGACAGAGCTCAGGACCTGACTGCGAGGATATGCAGAAGCACACACCTGTCACTAAGGGCCAGTCTGGGCCTGGGCCATTGGCTACATGCCTGGGCTCCAGCTCAGAGCTCCCAAAGACCTCCCTCGGGGCTAAGCCAGTTCCACAGACTCTCAGCAGAGCTGCCAAGAGAGAAAACCCCACACCCAGCACAGTCAGGCAGCACCGAGAAATAACCAGCAATGGGCTCCAGTTCATTCCGAGAGCCACGTCACTGCAGCCGACCCGGTGGGGCCAACAGTGCACAGCCCTGCTGTGGGCAGCCTTGGCTTGCTGGATATAATCCATTTCTGTTTAACAAAATGGATAGAAAAAGGTTCCTAACACAGACACCAAAGGGCCACAGCTTCTGATTTCTCTGTAATCGACATGCATCAGTTGTGACAGATCGAAAAGTTACTAAAAATTTAAAAAATGCAAAGCAGTCAACCACATGTGATTTCCTTTCTGGGGAGTCACATTAATTCCTAATTAGGGCATCAGGGTGTGAAGGGGCTAAGAATACAACTCGAAACGGGCCCCCTTAGCTGTGCACCGTGGGGCTCTGCACCAGCACACGCCATGGGAAGCCGTAGTCCATTACCTGCTGGTCTTGACGTTCCCCAGGCTGAAGTGGACGCAGTTCAAGCATTGGTTCGCATTGGGGCCATCACAGCCTTTGTCACCACACTCCGGATGGCACACACCTTAAAGAAACAAGCATTGCCTTTCATCCAGAGAGATGTTTTCTCAATCAAATCCAATCCCATGGATCCCTGTGTTGGGACATTGCAGCCTGGTGGGGTCAGGAGAAGCTTCCCTAGAGAGCAGCAGGCCCTGCTGGGGCTGGATGGCGCAACTATGAGGCAGAGCAGCCAGCCCCATGGAAATCCGGTCACAGCTGGGAGCTGGGCCTCGCTCTGGGCTCCAGGGTCATGAGAACAAGGATGACAACCAGTGGTGGATGGGGACTAAGGTCAGTGAAGAGAGGGGACTGTGAGGGATCCTGGAGGAGTGGTGATGGGGCTGGGGGAGTCAGGGAATGGCTCACTTGCATCAGAGCACTACGCTGGGACCAGCCAGCTCCCTGACTGCCACGGCAAAGGACAAAGCAGTGCGACACAGGGCTGAGATGTCAGGGAAGCCACTGCCAAGCAGCGACGACCCAACACAAATTAGGCAGGGAGGGGAGAGAATTCCCTGTATGCCGTGGGAATGAGGGTGGATTTCCGTGTGCTCAGGACCACCTAGACGTGGCTGTCTCTGGTCAGGTCTGGGGTGGGACAGAGACAGAGCCTGACAGTGTCATGCTGGGGTGGGGGTGGGCTGGCCTCACACCTGGGTGGGAGGTGCTGCAGTCCTGGGCTCAGCCCCTTTCAGCACACCTTCCTTTTGGCTTTCCTTGATTCAGCCCTTAGTGGTAGGCTTCCAGTGCCTTCCCTCAAGTCCCCTGGGATCCCGATTCTAACTCTGGGGGCCGGCATGCTGCAGTGAAAGTGACATGCGGAACTGCAGGGCAGCTCAGTGGGCTGGGCAGGCCTCATCCCTAGGTCCTTGCGGGTGTGCCACAGGGGTGAGCCCGGTTTAGCCGTCTGTGCCTCAGGTGGGCATGGGGCATGTCTGCCATGTCCTCAGCAACCTTGTGTGTGGAAGTGACACAGCATGCCGAAGCCAGCACCTCGGTAGCTGTATCCCCCCACCTGTCCCTCCTACACTGGGAAATGGCCTAGGAAACCCCCTGGGGAGTTCTGAGGAGACACTGGGAGGGGCTATGTGGGCCACTGTGAAGATTTTTGCGTCTTTGGAAGAAGAAAAACCTTCTATAAGCTTTGAGTTGCTGCAGGGGGTGGCAAGTGAGTTCAGAAGCAAAGAGGAGTTCAAGTGCTGGCCGCCCGCATCTCGTGGGAACGTGGGGGAACGACAGTCCCCATTCTCCGCAGCCCACAGCAGTCTTTGCTCAGCCCTCTTCATTCATCCTTCAGGAGCCTGCAGACCCTGCCAGTGTCCAACCGGCTGTCCTGCCTCCCTCCCAGAAGGTTCGCCATTGTTGGTATTCCCCAGGCTTTCACGAAGGGTCGTTGCCCACCTCCATTCCGCTGCGACCCCTCTCTGAGCTGTGCTCATCCCAAGCACACTCTGGACCACATCTCCCAGTTGGTGCTGGCGACCTGTATGCTCCACCCAGCCCGCCATTTCCAGAGCGCATCACTGAGCCAACAGCCTGCCCCTGCTTCAGGCGGTTTTACTGTTTTGGAGTCAATTCTCATCTGATTGGATTCTTGTCTACCTCATCCCCAGCCATCTGTCGGGTCGCCTGAGAAACCCTTGCTGCATTGTGCCATTGTTAATTACCCACTGAGCCAAAAACACATGGGCTTGGCCATGGGGCTGCCCCCTTGCCTTCCCACCAGCACACCAGGCCCTGGGTGTCCACTGAGACGGTGACTTCCCTCCCACCCTCTCCTGCAGCGCCTTCTCCCTAAAGCCAAGGAAGGCAGCAGGTCTACCTTGCTCGATAAAGTAAACCACTTCCTCAATCTTAAGGAGGTCAGGCTGTGCAGGGAGGGGCAGGGAGGTGACAGACCAAGCTTGTCACTCTTTCCAGGCATAGAATGGGAGCTCCATGCGGGCAGAGTTTGGTCAAGTGTGCTCACTGCTATATTCCCAGCATCGATCATGGCATTTGGCACTGAACAGGTGCTCAATAAATATTTGCTGGAGGACTGAAGGGTGAGAGCATGGATAAGAGGAGAGCAGATGGGGACAGGGAAGTGTGGATGTCCTCACCATCCACAGACAATGTTCTAGGATATCTCAGGAGGGGGACAGCCTTGGGGATGGGCTGCAGCGTGCTTCCAGCTGCTGGTCCACAATGTGTGGACTTCATCCCCAGCCACCGCCGGCCACTCTGCAGTGGAATATGTGAATAGTCAATAATTCTGAGAGGAGCCTGTGCAAGGCTGGGGCCACCCCACAGCAAGGACTGCAGAACCTCGACAGGGCACCAAGATCATCCACAGGTCAGATGAAGACAGCACCCATCCGAGGGCAGAGGATGCCAAGATTAATGTCCGCAAACAAACCTCCCCAGTACGGTGCTCCACGTGAAGTGTTTTAAAAACCAAATACCAAGCTTCATCTCTCCCATGAAGTGTTCTTGAAATAAGTCCACTTGGCTGGCCGTCTGGTCCCAATCCCTCCTTCATGCCTAAGAATGTTCTAGCACAGCTGTAACTCATTCTCTGGGTGGGCACATGTTATTTGTGTTGCAATCTGTACTTTTCTCAGCGTGAAAGCACCTCTGAGACCCACTGCCTTCCCATGACACCTCCCACCACCCCAGCAGAAGGCTCCCAGGACAGAGAGCTCCATTCCTGCACTGAACAGACCGGCTAACAGTGGATCCCCCTCCACTGGGGTCACTCCAACAGGTTTATTTGAAAACTCCACCTTAAACCCTTTGTGGAGCAAATCCAGGATACAAAAAATACACAAATAAATGTTAGAAAGCAGCTTGGGAGATCTCAGCGGGCTTTGTCATTATGTACCTGGACCAGCTGCCGAGGGAACAGGATTTATTGCCACCATGTTTGTCATCATTCACCCCATCCAAGAAAAGTGCCCCGAGAGCTCACTGTAACACCGTTAGACGCAGACCGAGATGCAAGGGTCAAGCTGGTGGACTGCAGACGAGAGGCATCGACAAGAGGAAGAGAGCGCTCGCGTTACAGGCCTGCCCTCCTTCCTCGCCGCTGTGTGACCTTCTGGGTCTCTGCCCTTGTCCACCGAGTGAGTGCTGATGTGCTCAGTCTATGACCCCACATGGTCCTGCTCTGCTCATGCCACCTGTCCTGGGAATCAGCTCCCCCATGACTATTGAGCTGTCCTGGACCCCCCGTCTTCTAGACAGTGCATGGGCTCTTGGCTCCCCCATAGCCCTGTGTGGATGACCACGCTGTCCCCAGCTGACCTCGGCCCCCTCATCTCCTTTGCTCAGGGCTGCTTCTTCCCTGAAGCCCAGGCTTCCCTCCGTTCCCATGACAGTTCCATGCTGGCCTCCCAGCCACTCTCTTGTAAGAACCTGCCCTCACCCTCACTGATTTTGGCCCCTGCCAGCTCCCTAAGCCCACACTACCTCGAATCACCTGCAGTGCTGTGACGGGTGCAGACCCCCAAGCACCCCCTGACCTGCTGAGGCCAAGTCTCTATGTGGGACCCGTCTGTGTTCTGCTCTTCAATCTAGTATCCTAGTGAGTCCCAGGGTAGTCTCCACTTGCACTTTGGCCACCAGACGGCTCTGTCCCACTGCAAAGCTGTCACTGCAAAGCTGTCCACCTTCAGTACTGTGGCCACTGCCATCCTCCTTATACCCCACTCTGTCCTCCGCAGCTGCCGCCCTCCCTGCTGCTAGACCCCTGGTCCCCACCACTGCACTGGCTTTACTGTCCATCATCTACCCCAAGCTGGATTTCCATACCCTCTTTACCATGGAGACTCTAGAACCTGCCACTGCCTTAGCCTCCTGCCGCCTTGGCTGGGGGATTAGCTCTGGCTGCCTTCCCAGGGTGCGATGTCGGCTGAGACGCCTGACTGCCATCTGCTGCACCTCACGGCTGCTCCCCCCACAGGGCAGCTCTTCTGTCTGCTCTGGCGAGGTGCCCAGCACCCCACAGGAGCCCTGCTCCTCTCAGTGGGTACTCGTGCCTGCTGCTGTCCTGTGACCCTTGCCGTCCATCCATGAGTGTTCTCTGGACTTCCCTCTCCACCCCTCATTCACCTCCCCCATTTCTTGTCCCAGGGAGGGCTGTTCCTCCATCTGTCCTGTCTGCCCCTGATCCCTGTACTGGCCAGGCCCCTGAGACCACTGCTCCACCAGACTCCCCTGCTCCTCCTGACATGCCAACTGCCCCTTGTCCGCAGGGTCCAGGGGAACCTCCGCTGGCCTAGGCCCACCCCCCACAACGTGCTGTTCTCCCATGGCTGGGCTCTCATTCTGAAGGCCCCACCCTGCACCCTCTTGCTTTGGGCTCTAACACAGCTGCTTCCCCCGCCCCTCCTCTGCCCCCCATGCCATGGCACTCTCCTGTTCTCACCCCCACTGTCACTGGGTCCTGGCCTCTGAGTGGGCTCTTCTTGCTGTTACAGCTCTGTCCATCCCACTTGCCCCCAAGACTGCAGGGAGCTTCCCTGAGAGCTGGGAATACGTCTCATTCCCATGGAGACACCACCGCTCCATCTAGTCCTTGCTGGGTGAAGATGGATGATTCTGACTGCAGAACTGTATTACAGTGAGGTCCCAGCATGCAAGGCTGGTGTCAGTACCAGATTTAAAGAAAAATAAAATCAGTCTTTTATTAATAATTACTGAATCTTGCCACAATTTATAAATCATAGGGGGAAACAGAACAGATTAGTCCATGCATAATTCAATGCTCTGTTTTCAAGGAATGGTAGAAACTCACAATGGAATCGACCATAATTTATGCTTGATGTACACGGTGGAATTCTCCATTTTGCTACTTCTTTTCACAAGATATTAGATAACTCAAAGCATCAATATTCTTAGATATCACCCATCATTTACCAAGTAGCTGTAATATTTAGCTAAGAAAACTATGCCCAACCAGAAACACCCAGTTTCGCAACAATTGTAGTGGGATGGCTCGGAGGGAAAGGAACAGCTTTCAACCTAATAGAAACTGCACCCAGTTTGGTGGCTGGAGATTTCTGAAGGCTTCTCCAGGCTGCTGTGGCTCTTGAGGAGTGAGTTGGTGACCCGGAGTCAGGGGCCACCTTGGCAATGGGATGGCTGGAGGAAAAGGATTCATATAAAGCGTCTTTATGTGCGGTGAGATTGCTAAGACGTCTGTGTGTAGCACCAGTATCTACTGATGTCATCTCTTGAGACCCTCTCCTGGTCCATACTCCCGGCCCTCAGGCTGGTCAAGATCTTGACCACCAGCTCCATTCCTAGCTAAACTCTCTGAGCCCGGCCTTCCTGGGCCCTTGTTAGTAACCTCGTCCTTCCTACAGCCTGGCCACAGGACTGAAGGTGGATGGAGGTGAGGGATTCGGGAGGCTGAGCCATGGGATGGGGGCCTTTGAGGAAATGTGGGGACTCCTGGAGGCTGCTGGTTCAAAGAGGCAAGTTTCAGTTCTGGTTGGGCATAGAGAACCTCAGTTTCCCAGCCTGGGAAGGTTGGAGAATACTTACTGGCTTGAAGCATACTTACTGGTCTGTAAAATATTAGTAGAGCCTTGGGTGGAAGGAGCTGTGTGAGTGCAAATTACCACCATTATTTTCACTTTCAGGAAAAAGAAGACAGTCAAAACCCCCGCCTTCTGCCAGGAGCAGCCCCATACATTAAGAGCTACGGTGAAAAACAGAGCTTAAGGAGGCTAGCGGTCCCCTCTTGCTTCAGGCTCATTACCTGTGTAATCGTCTTCCTCCTCAGGAGCATCGGGCTGGGACGGTGACAGGGCAGACTTGGGTGGCTCTGACTCTGGGGCTGAGAGCTCCAGCATCCGTGAGCGAGACTGATGGGAGCTGAAGGTGTGGTATGGGTGCTCTGCCGTGCCGTATAGAACAAGGCTCCATTCCTTCAGCTTCCCTGGAAGGCACCAAACCCAGAGTCACCTTAGGAAGCTCTTGATGCACCTGTGGGCTCCTTGGCCTGTGCAAAGATCTCTGCCACCCACAGAAGCCCCTCCCACAGCAGGGCTCTGGCCCACTACCTCCACTTCCTGGTTACCTGCTGACCAGGTGTGCACCCACTGCCCAGGCCATGTGCTGTTCTCCCCAGGCATATTGTTCCTGCAAGCCGGTGCTCTTCTCTTCCTATTCTTTCGAGCTGCCCGATACATCCTGTCACTGCTAGGATGGGGATCAGCTCAACTGAACTCTCCACTGTCCTGGAGACTGTCCTCTGCCCCCCAGGTCTCCCTGCAGCCTCTTCAACGCTGCATCCCTTCTGGGGATATCCAGTGTGTAGATCTGGTACCAGGCCTGTCCCTGAGCCTTGTCCCACAGCCTCCAAATGCCATAGCTGGATGACATCAGGGAGCCCAGCTATTCAATCCTTGAGCCTAGAGTACAGGAAGGCTGTCTTGGGCTCTCTGTAGTTAGCCCAGGGCAGGCGGGGAGGTTTTGGGGGTGCAGGTAGCAGTGCTGATACAAATGTCTACGAGGCTGGGTGTAAGGAGAACACCCTCATAAGCAGGAGGATGAATGACACAGATGCTAGGCTCCTTGGGGGCTGGAGGGTGACAAACAGGTGTGGGAAGGGCAGCAGTTGTGACCCAGCCTGTGACGGGAGTGGCTGGTGGGACCGCGCTCCACCGATTGCCCCCACATGGGAACAGGCCCATGTGGCTAGGCCTTCTCAGGTGTAAAGAGAAGTGGGAAACCTGGCCTGTGGTTTCCAGGTGAGTTCCTGATACTATACAACACATTCCAGGGAAGCAACACATATCTGGGGGCTGCTCAGTTGTGGGCTCAGGCTTCCTTTTCCCACTACAGTACCTGGGCATTCAGAGCAGGGTGAGTTTAGGACGGATGAAGGGGCCATGGTCCAGTGGGACCTGCCCAAGGACACACTGCTTCTGCTAATGGGCCTCCCTGCTGCTCCAGCCTGTGTTCACTAGTAACTGGACTGGCCCAACATGAGACACTCACACCAGCTGCCAACCACCGCTTGGACTGGCCGCTGCAACGCTAGCTGGGGGAGTGGCTTTGCCACCTTCATGTCTGTGTTGAACTGGAAAGTCCCTGGCTTCGTCTTCCTCTGTCATTGGCCTTCTTGGCAATCAGAATGCTTTGGGCCAGGAAAAGTACTGCTCGGATTCTTTGGTATTTATTGTGTTTTTATTGTCACCAACCTCTGTAAAAGCCTAAACCGAAGTGACTCCATTTTGTTAAGCCTTTGAATGTAAAAACTTGTTCTCTCCTATAACCCAAACCACATAGCCTGCAGCTAATTGCCAAAACACTACGACTCTTGCTCTCTCACATTGTATACAAATAATTGGAGGGAAAATTATTAACCCAGATGGCCATTCTTTACTAGCTTACTAACCTGATCTTATTTGAGACTAACAGGAACTGAGCCCCTGGAGAACACAGTATGACGCTGGTCAACTCCAGCCCCCAGGAAGCTCCTTGACAACTATCTGAAACACTTGAGCATGTCTGCACATCCCTGCTTGGTCACTGTGAATCAACTTTCCACCCCAGACCCCTATAAAACCCTTTGGCAAACCTGGGAGAGGAGGAGATGGTCTTTGAGACATAAGTCCACCATTCCCCAGGCTGCCGGCTTCCTGAGTCAAGGCTCCTTTTCCTTACACCAACACTTGTCTCTTGATTATTGGCTATTGAACGGCGAGCAAACAGACTTTTGGGGTTTCAGTAACACCTCCATGCATACTCTGTCTCCCTGCTCTGAATGGCAGGCCATCTGTCTTTAGCTATCTACCCATCTACTATTTCTGCACTGTGGCAGCTCTGCCATACAGCTTAATCTCCTGTTCCAATTCTGGGGATCTCTTAGACTACTCCCTCAGTCCCAGAAGAGGGCTCCTGCTTGTCCACATACCATTAGCATGTGGGCTGTAATTCACACCAACCTAGGTAGGGTGGGGACTGGCAGGACTGGCCCCGCAGCTCCCCAGGCCAAATGCTGGTGCTCTTCAAAATGGTGTTTGACTCCCACCCAGTTACATAACGTGGCATGTAGCAGTGCTATTTCATTTTAACCATTGCCCTAGCCAACTTAAGTAACAATCCCCCAAAGCCTGTATAGCCCTCAAGCTGCCCCAAGTCAGGCCCTATATTGCCTAAGCCTCTCCAGCCCTGGCCAGGATTCGAGCATGTAGGCAAGGTCCCTCCATTTGAAGAAACATTCCTGAGCAGACCATTTCTGAGCACAAGGTCTTCTGGAGGGCCTGGTTCTTGGGGCCACGGCGGCTCACTTCCCTGTCATGTTTCCTGACCATGGCTACACACTGGACGCTGGCGAAGTAAGAGCTTCTCACTGTCGCAGGTGCAGAAACGCTCCCCAGGGACGAATCTTCATCCATTCTCAACTCCTCAGGATCAAATTAAAGCTATATTTCAAAACTGCAGAGGAACCCGAGCACTCTGTGATGAGTGGTGAGTGACATGGGAGTGTGACGACTACAGAGCAGGGACCAAGGGCTCTGGGTGAGGTAATGTGAGTTGAAATTCATTTCAACCCTATAGGATGTCTCCCAAAACACCCACAAAAGGCCTAGTCACTATAATTAGAGTTTTGTTTTCGGGTATAATCTTGGTAGGACAAACAAAAGGCCTGCTGCACGCTCAGGATCAGTGGCACAGCCTGCGTGGAGAGGAGAGAGCAGGAAGCACTCCCACAACAGCGCAGCGGGGCTGCCTCCAGGAGGGCGCTGGGGAGGCGGGCCCGGGAATGGCGGAGAGACTTCATTTCTATTACATTCCTTTGGGGACTATTGGATTTGTTTTTGGTTTTTAACAACAAGCATATATTACCTGTTCACCTATATAAATTTAAAAAATTTTTGCTTTGTTTTTAAAATCTATGAACAATGTAGTTATATGGTCAAAGAAAAAACATTAAAAAGCAGTGATCCTTGAGTCTTTTGATTATGTTGATATGGATGGCTCAAAATCCCTAAGTATAAAAGGAAATACGGTGGAAGTCTCTCTCCCTATGGGCGACCACAGCTTCTTGCATATCCTTCCAGAGGTGTTTTATTCTTACTCAAGCAAATATGAACGTACATTCCACCCCACCCCTTTATTAACATGATTGGTAGCAGCTTCTGCACCTTGCTTTTTCCGTTAACAATATAGCGTGGTGATCCTTCCACAGCTGCATTGGAGAGATGTTGCATCATTTACTTAAATGATCTCCGAACGTTTGCAAATTCTGCCATTACAAACAGTGCTGTAACCTTGGTCATACAGGAAGGACTGGCTGGGGTGGGCAGAGCAGGGGCCCTGGAGCAACACAGTCTGTATCCTGGCTCCCCCCCCCCCCCCCCCCCCACT